GTACCATTTCAGCTTGTTCACAAAATAGGCATCTCCCCTTTTCCTGTAAGAACAAATGATTCAAATCAAAATAAGCGCAACAGCATTATCCTAATATTATTCTAAATTAACATGAATTCATTTACCGATACCCTTCGATATTAATAAGCTGTAGTTAGAGGCTTCTGTCGCTCACACAGGAAGACGTTTTACTATTTCCCGATTAAATGACGTTTAAAATTAGTTTTCAACTACGGCAAAACGTTTAAATTCACCGCGACATCAACTCGTGAACTCTTCGTTAGAAGGCGCGGGAAAATGGCGCGAGCGTACACCTAAAGGATGTATTATATTACCGGAAGTGAAGCTACTGTACCAGTTTTTACAACTCAACGACATTAAAAAAGAATAAACTCCATGAATGTATTCCTGATAAAGAATGAACTTACGATTTTAATTTGCGATTTTTCAAGATAGGTATAATATTTGTACTACCGAGCGGCAGTAGGCTCAGTCTCCAGCCGTCGGGATTTCGTGCGCCCGCGATACTCTCTCCAGAGTATCGCGGGCGCACGAAATCCCGACGGCTGGAGACTGAGCCTAGAGCGGCAGGTGAGCCCGTAAAAATGGGATTCCTGTGGTATTAGAAGTGCATTTTGGGTAAAGTGTTTGCCCTCTGAAAATTTCTCGGTTTGAGTATTCTGTGCAGAAATCTACCCATATTTCTTTATATTAACCATCCAAGCAGTTATTCAAGGTATTATACAGTTGAAAGGTATGTAATTAAGTACTTTTCACGCTTTGATGGGTTGGGAAATGTATTTTCTGGATCAATATTTTCGTATGCCCGATCCGGGATGAGGTTAGGTCTAAAAATTGACTTGTAAGCTTATGTAAGCTGAAGCTTAGTATTTCCCTTCCTTCATTATTACACCCAATATCTAAGAAATAGGATTGTTCTTTGGATTTAAGGAGTGACAAATCGAATAAGGATCTGTTCCGATATTACTTCTTCTTCTTAATAATTGCATCTAAAATTTCTTGTTCGTAATTTTTCCCTTGCCGCAAAATCGGTTGGCAACCGATTTTGTATAAAATACTACTTATTCAATGTTTCTTTTATAATTTRCATACAACCTGAGGTTAAACTGGTTTTAATTTATCAGTGATAAAATAAGTAAGAGTATTTTTTTTCCTTTCTTTGAATGCTATGCATGTGCCATGAATTTATGACTGAAGGACGTACATCCGTCTTATGTCATGGTCTGTAGCTAAGCTTGAGCCATCTGCAGTACGATTCTTATTAGCATGTAATCAAATGTACTTTTATTTCTTTAATATGCGCTTTAATTTGGAGTTCAGTACAGTATCAATACTTACATGAACAATTTTTGCTCATTTTTAATATCACCAAACAGAAACAAGATCAAAATGTTCAACCATAGTTCTGTAGACTGTATGTAAACACTGAAAATTTTAATCATTTCTATCGATTTACATTCATGCACAGCAGAGTTTCATGTCATATGATGCTGAAATTAAGAAAAGGTTCAATAAAGGTTTTAAAAGTATATACATGTAGAATACACAACAAGCTACTGAAACATGCTTTTGACATTAAATATTGGATTTCAAAGTGTTGTTATGGCAGGGATCATTGGGATGCATGTAAATGATGACCTTTCATGATGAATTAAGTGGTTTGTCTGTATTTTTATCTGCAATACTGAAAATATTCATTTATTGTAGCAAATTAATTTAATATAGTGAGTTATCCCTGTTTTATAAGACATTTATATTAAGTTTCTTGTTTGTATTCTTATTTTCTAAGGTGTAAAAAATGTCAGCCAAAGGTGCAAGAGAAGAGTATGTTCTTAATATTGAGAGACGTCATAAGCAATTGTTTGGCTCTCGCGCGTCAAACTATCTTGATTACTTGAGTGAGCTGGAYATTGATATTGAGCCMTTCACAATCCGTAATTCTGGAATCATTTGCACCATTGGTAAGATAGAGACCTCAACATATTACATTAAGTTATACTAGAATGACAAGAAGGGTCATTGCTTAGGTCCTACCAGTACCATTTATTTCATTACTTAATTAAACCTAGGGCCAGCTTCAAGGTCAGTGGAGACATGTGTCAAGCTCATAGAAAATGGCATGAATATTGCAAGATTGAACTTCTCTCATGGGACTCATGAGGTATGTCTTGTAKAATTTAGATGGCCATCAAAAACTGTACAAAGTAAATCTTGTGATTGTTTAAGAAAACAATGAACAAATAATAGATGCTGTTCCAAACAATAAAACAAAACCTGACCTGACAATGGAGGCTCTGTACTAATGGAGCAATCAAAAATGCAGGTTTTCAAATGGCTCATGACATTCAGCTCAGAATTGATAGAAAGTGGGTTTCTGCTTTTGCATTTAAAATGATATACAATGTCGTTGTTACATAAGATTTAAAAAAAATATATACTTATGATAATTATTATTTGCAGTACCATCAAGAAACAATTGGTAACATCAGACGGGCTGCGTTGATTGAGTGGCCTCATGCTGTAGCTATTGCTCTGGACACCAAAGGACCTGAAATAAGGACTGGTCTCCTTAAAGGGGTATTGACGTGTACATTTATTACAAGTCCTTATAGCATYATATTTCATTTTATTTGGCCAAAATAGAGTGCACACAAAAAGTGTGAAAAATTATTAACCGAATAGTGATAAATACAAATGTAGTGCAGAGTATAGTGTCAATTTGACAATAGAGAACAAAGGAATTCACATAATTCAGTACAATTTAACACTATTTCATTATTAATTGGTAATTCTAAAATTATGTTATCTTTTATGGCTGTTATAACAAGAATATATATTCTTGTTCCTTCTTTTGCTCTTTGTGTAAAGTTCTCCCCACAGGAGAATTGCTGAGATTTTTTTTTAAATATTGTAACAGGAGTCATCACATTGTACATAAAAGAAACAAAGTTTTGTTGCTACTTTTTAATGGAAATTTCTTTACAGGGAGGATCTGCTGAGATTTCATTAACCAAAGGACAGAAACTCAAAGTGTCCACAGACAAGTCAATGTATGACCAGTGTGATAGCGAGACCATTTTTGTAGACTATGCGAACATAGTAAAAGTAGTCCCACTTGGCGGCATCATATTTGTGGATGATGGGCTAATCTC